CACCTCACCTCACCTCACCTCACCTCACCTCACCTCACCTCACCTCACCTCACCTCACCTCACCTCACCTCACCTCACCTCACCTCACCTCACTTCACTTCACTTCACTTCACTTCACTTCACTTCACTTCACTTCCCTTCACTTCACTTCACTTCACTTCACTTCACTTCACTTCACTTCACTTTACTTTATTACTTTACTTTACCTTACTTGGTCATAAGTTACCCTCCTCTGCAGGTGTCTCTTAAGGCTTGTCCCAAGTCGACCTCTCTTTACGAGCGAACAGAGCAACCAACAAAAGAATCAAAGTGTCTCTCTCTTTCTGGGGTTTCTTGTTCATACTTGAGTGGCTATGTGTGGTGTGGAGGTATGTGGCTGGGGAAGCTGAGAGGTAGCTAGGCTTCTCCTTCCACTTTATCACATAGGGATCCCAAGCGCCAAAGAAAATAAACAAAGATGCATGTGGATGAGGCTAGTTATAAGTGTTTAATAGTAAAGGTATTTTGTTTATTTTATTCCTGCTTCAAAACCTGGAAGATAGCTTGTCCTTTAGAACTTTCGCATGGGATATCACGTAGGAGAATCTCTTTATTAGTACAATGTTAAAACTCCTTTGGAACTACCAAAAGATTAGTAAAAAGTTGCATAACAAAAAAGGTAGCGAAAAGAATTCTGGAAGCTTCTAATCTCCAGAGATTGGAATTGTCTTGCTTTGTCCACCAGATCGAGCTTCTTTGACGTCACATGAAAGGGGTCTATAACTTCATCATACTGGAGGTAGTTTGGCAGAGCTTAAACAAATTTATTATCACCATGCAATCTCTTGTGTGGATCCCCTACATTCTGTCTCACATTTCCGGTCTTTTCATGTTAAATTTTTTTTTAGGTACTGGAACTTGATAAATGTGCGCAAAAGGGACATCTGCATGATGAGCTCTCCCACTACAGTACGGCAGAATTACGGCAACAGAAGTGAAGTCCACATCGGATCTTCTGTTGGAGTGTACAAAGATTCCAACGGATCTCTTCACTTTGTGGTCGATAACAAGGATCTTGGAGTTGCGGTTGAAAAAATATCACGCCGTTTCTTTTATGGTTGGATAAGGATTGGAAACCATGGAATTGTCAGGATAACTCATCGAATCGACCTCTCATTTGGTAAATATGTACACGAATTTAATAGAAGCCAATGATAATAAGGTTAATAACTATGCCAATATGTTTTGAATTGTCTCATGAGTTCATCACTTAAAATCAGAGTAAACAACTTACCGTAAACCTCCGAAAATAATGCCTAGGCCTATATTTGTTCATTGTATCTTTTGGATGAGCTTTTTTCCAAAAGGGCTTATTTTGGAGGGAGCTATTTTTGAAGTTAAATTTGTGTCCAAAAAATACCGTATCAGCATTATGAACTTAATGTACATAAACCAGTCTAGCTGGCTAGCAAGCTAGCAATATTCGGTTCTGATATTATATTGGGTCCATAAGGAAAACTATAAGAACTACAAAATGGCAAAACTTGGGAGCACTATAAATAGCCCCATGGGATTGAAAATGGGAGGGCTTCTTATAGAAAGAGTTTTTAAGGTGGTTGCCCACTTTTGAACGTTCGATTTGAGCCCACGATGTGCGCGCGCTCAAAAACCGCTGAAAAATCAACAAGATTTTATTGAAGAACCATACGCGTTTTGAGCTTCAACAGAGCAAAACCCTCAAATTTTGCACGGGACTCTCTATTTTTTAATACCTCATTCGAAAAAACTCCTAAAAATCTAGGTTATATAAACATTTTAGGAAAAGTTCAAATCAGTAACACATGAAAAAATAGATTTTTGTTCGACTTTATGAGATTTTTTAAGAGCACCGAAACAACAAAATATGACAAATCAATCTCTTTGCCTTTTTGTCGAAAATATCCATGTATTATTGTAGAATGATTGACTAGCTTTCATTCATGCAATCATA